GGTTTGTGTACTCCGAGCTGAGTTACATGCACAACAAGCGCTTCTTTTCGCCTGAAATAGAAACCGACTACAAAGTGGAGCCCGTTGGGGATGTTGAAACCACAGAAGAGCACAAATACACAAGAAACGCGCAGAATGACAAACCATATCCGCCTGCAGAGGGACCCGCTCGGGGCTCCAAGCCTGCGAGCACAGACTACACTGTGACGTACCACCGCACCCTCATCGAGATGTTTCCGTCTGTCGACGGGCACACTCTGTCGGTTGCTGTCGCCCGAGATGACTCCTTCTTCCAGGCTCTGCAGAGAATGCCCAGCAAACACGCGCACTACGTGCTGGCTGCGCTCCTCCTGCTGAGCGAGGGAATAGACGTGCCCATCAAGGCCACGCAGAAAACAATCACACTGGAGATAGGCAGCATAAAAGTTGGAGCAGACTCGTGCAAAAAGGCTGCCCAGGTCATAAACTTCTTCAAAGACAGCAAAGGCAAAGGAAAACTGCCGTGCACGCAAAGCGACTTCAACACCGGCGACTTTCTAAACACGCCGCAGTTCCTCATCCAGGCGTACATCTTTGAGTACATCACGAGCAAGGACGACGCCCTGGACTTCGCAGCGTGCGTGCACAGCATCCTCAAAAGCCTGCCGGAAAAAGACTGCAAAGACGTATACAGCGCGTGCTTTGTGAGGAGCAAGGCCGAGGGAGACGAGTTCCTGTGCCAGCTTAGGATGATTCAGAAAGCCATGAAGAATCTGGACTCGTTCCCGTTCGCCAGCCCAAACATGCTGCCGGCGTACACAAGCGTGCGCGCCTGCAAGAGAGGCCAAACCAAGTTTCTGAATGAAACCTTCAGCAACTGCGTGGAGACCGGCCTGCTTGCGCTCTTTTGCTGCCTTGCACACGACCCAGTCCAGAAAGAGTACGACGCAGACGCCATGCTCGGCGAGGAAAAGGAGGGTGAGGAAACAGAGGCCCTGCATACATTCTTCCAGTTAGAAAGTGTCACCCCAAAGGTGTGCGCCACCAAAGAGACGATGCAGGAGTGGAACCGCGTCGTGTCTGACCTGCAGAGCGAGCACATCGCGTACAAAAGGGAGAGCCGAAACGAGGTACGCTCCGGAATTTTCAACGCTCTCTACGTTGTGGCGGAGGTGACGGGCAGACGAGAGCAGGAGGAGCCGAGAATACGCGAGCTTGCGCAGATGCTAAAAGGCTGCAAAATTCGCGAAGCCTCTGAGGACGTGTTTGAAAAAGCACAGGAGTACGTGGCAGAGCTTTTCGCGTCCCTCTCTGTGGACAAATCCTTAAAAGTCGAATTCTCCGGCTTGATGGTCGACGTCCGAAGTGATAAGAAGAAAGACCTCTACGGAGAAATCACTCTGAAGTACACAGACAAAGACAGCGTGATAGAGCAGGGCATATGCATTGCCTTTAAGCCCAGGCACCTTACAGTTACTTTGTGCCCATGCGTCTTTCTTTCTATTAACAGCGAAGAAAAAGAGGCCTTCTTTGCGGTGGACAGCTGTCTAGAGCCCGAGACTTTTGCTGAATGCCTGCTTGCCAAGTACGCAGACGCGTGGAGGGCCAGAGACGCGGACCTCTACGAACCAAGCTTTACTGATGACATTCCGGAGATCGCAGACCGCCTAACGGCAAGTGAGGTCCTGAAGCACCCAAACCAGCTTTTCTTGCACGGAAAAGCCCTGAGATATGAACAGATACAAGAATTCGCCGAGGACTTCACCGGGCATGCAGCAGCAAACGGCATCGAGCTCGCCCAGGAGCATCCGGGCGTGCGCCTCCTCTCAAACATGCTCGGCAGCCTTCCGCTGGACGACTATGCAATGCAAATCGATGGGATGCAGCACATAGTCTCTCTGGACATGCTGGGCACGCTGTTTCCAAGAATCGCCCTGTCAAAGCAAATAGCTGCTAGAATCTATAGAAACACACACACTATCGCCAAGCTAAGGAGCTACACCGAAGACAATTGCGTGCCCACAGCAAACGCCATTATGAAATACCTCAGAGAGTACAAAGATAAAGCAGACAAGCCTCTTTTCCGGTGCTGCAAACTAACAAGCTTTACCGCTGCCTCTAACTTCTTGTTTCCCGTTTTACTTGCAGACAAGTCAACGCGCCACACAGACGAAATTAGCGCGCTTATTATGGATGTGGAGGAGAAAGACCGGGAGGAGGCGCTGGACACCAAGGCGGTCTTCGACCTCTTCGTGTTCCTCGCCAGCTTGCAAGACAAAGGCATCCCGCACGAGCTGGTGCTTGCTCTGGGCAGCAGGCTTGGGCCAAGGTCGATCCCGGCATGCAATAAAGCCAGTTGCATGGCTTTTGTCAGCAGCCAAGAAGCCTCTGCGATTCTGGAGGCGCTGAACACCCACCAGAGCGCCCTGCAGCAGGCGCCCAACAGAGCGGAGGTGTTCAACGGCGTGATGGACATACTCAAGTCCAGAATACACTAGGAAAGTTGCCTGGTGCGCATGCACGCGCACGGCCAAATGGCACGGCCCGCCGGCTAGAGAAATGCGCCTGCGCACTATTCTGTTAATTTCTTGCTCTTAGCAGTATATATGCATGCGCTGCGTTTTTATACAACTTGTGCCAAAAAATAGAACCACACTTCTAAAAACCCTTTTCATTCGGAAGCTTCCTTCCGGCCCTGCAAAGCAAAAATAAAACTTCTCTAGACTAGATTTCAGCCTGCGGCCTTCTTCTCCCGCGCCCACTAAACAAACTTGGCAGTTGCCTGCTCCAAAGCGCACATGTTTTTTCTGTTTTATTTTCCATAGAGAGTCGGCCAAAGAACAGCACGCAGTGCATGCACTTCTGCGCTGCCTGCGAGAGCCCGCACTTGCCTATTTGTGGCATGGAACGAATGGTTGACAGCAGCCACACCACACCCGCGGCTTCGCCACTTGGGAACTACGCAGCCCGAGAGCAGATAAAGGAAGAGCTTCAGCCAATGCTTCCAAGTCAATCCTGGAATCTAATGCATACTTGGCGGTAGAGTTCACACAGCGCTTCAAACTTTGCGCGGCCCCCTCCCCCTACAAGAACATTTCTTGCTCTATTCAGGCCGTCTAGTGTAGAGTTTAGATTTACGCGCTGCCAAAAATCGCAAAGGTCACTAAGCTCTTTTGCAAGATGCCCCGGCTTAACAGTCTTGTAAATCTCGACAATTGCGTCTTGATTCTCCTCCAAGCCCCTCCCCAAAAGAACCGCCAGCCAGGACAGCCGCAGCGCATTGGTCAGGGCCTTGGCCGTCACCAGGTCTTCTCCCGCGTTATCTGCTAGAACAAGCGAACATACCTCTTCTAGGGATGCCGCCGGGTCCGCCGCAAACAGAAACGTTCTATACTTTTCTATAATCGCATGCCTATGCAGCAGCTCACACCTGAACAGCGGCTGGTTTTGTTTCTCTGCGTACGCTCGAAGATACGACATAAGGCTTTCCCGTGTAAGCAAATCGGTATTTTCGAAGGGATACGGCACGAAATGCACATCAAGCGCGTGCAAATTCCAAAGTTGCATCTGCGACTTTTTGGACAGCTGCAGCGCTGGGCACAGCACCCGCAGAATGCCGGTGACTGCAGGCACTTTCAGGATACAATGTCGGTTTGTCGAGTCGCTAAGGTCAATGCTCCCTATCACGTTCGCAATCAATCGGCCTACTGGGTGTGCCGGGGTCAGCGCAATACTCTTCTGCTCGGCATACAGCACCAGCGCAGAGACAAGCTCTTCCCTGAAGCGCGTGCCCAGCACCATAAGCACGCCGGTCGGCCTGGCCGGGCTGCACTCAACTGCCCACCGCGCAGCTTCATGCACATCTTCGATTGTTGTGCTTGGAAAGTTTAAAATGTCCTTTGCAGCCGCCATTCGGTGCATGCACTCCGCAAGCACAAAGCCTGAAAGCCGCGCTTCCTTCCTGTACTGTGCAACTGCCACGCCCAACACATTCTCTTCTCTATTAGAAAGAGTTCGGCGTGGCAGATTTAGATTTGTCACCCAAGTCTTTTCTTGTGTGAACACCACCGTCATTTCATATCTGTTGGTGCGTTCGGACACATGACGTATTGTAAGCATGCGTTTTTCGCCTATAAAGGAGCCGTAGTTCTTTCTAATCTTCACCTCCACACCTTTGTCCACTGCTATTGAGCGCAGCAGCGCGTAAACGCTCTCGATCGCCTCGGGGCCCAGTTTTGTCCTTTTTTCCGCATCCATCGCCGCTTGGTGTGCTGCCAGCTCGTCCATCACCGCCTGCGGCCGCCCGGTCATCTGCGCAAGCACGCGCATCTGGTTTAGAAACGTCGGCTCCAAACTCCCCAGCGCCTCCACGAACTGCCTGTGCACCATGAGCCACAGGTCTCTTCGTTTTTGCGCATGTTCTTCCTTCGGCCAGCCCAAAAAACAGCTCTCTTCTATGTGTGTCTTCACCGCCTCAAAAAACGCTCTGGTTTTGGCCACCTCTTTTGTTTCCTCGGCCCCGGCCAGCAGGCCCTCCAGGCTGTACGCGTTCTTCTCCGGGTCGTATGCCAGGCACGGCAATAGCAGACACGCACCAAGAAACCTGCAGCTCGTAGCATGCTCGTCAAAGTGCTCCTTCTTCCCGTCTAGGGCTATGTCAATTACGACCACATATTCGGCTTCTCTTTGAAGGCAGTCAAGCTCGCCTATGTGCTCCAAGGCCGCTAGAGCGGAAAGCCCCTCTAGAAACGGCGCGAGATGCGCTTGGGCCTCAGGCAGCCGGCTCGCAGGCACAAACAGCCGCCCGGCCACGCTGCCTGGGTCTCCCACACTCTCGGCCAGGCCCATGCCCTCCAGAAGGTTAAACATGCACTCCATCACAGACATGAGCTCCTCCGCGTTTTCCACGTACTCGCCTATGTACGTGAGAATCAGAAGCTGCGGGCTCTCCAGAAAGTCTCCCGTTTTAAACTCTTCGTATGTGCTTGGCTGCATGTGTATGCCTCTGTGCCGCTTGAAGAAGTTTACCACCTGCCACGTCTCGGATGGCGGACCTTCTCCACTGTCCACAACTGGCACGCATACATCCACCAGCGCCTCCTCGCAGTCTTTTCTTTTTTTTAGAATCACTTTGTTCCCAGCGGTCTCAATCGGCGCGTCCACGCCCTCGCTCAGCAGGACCAGCGCAGCCAGCACGTAGTGTGCCTCTTTTTGCGTTCTGCAGCTCTCCCGGAGGAACTCTGTGAAAGAGCACGGCCGTCCAGTTTTAACCGTCAGGCCCCCCTTCTTCTGCAGCCCGAACATATATACAAGCGCTTGGTGGAACGCCACGCTGTACCCTTCGTCTCTTGCAAACGCTGCTGCACTCGCAATGCTGTCGGGAAGGTGGGCCCTGTCCTTCTCCGGCTCTCGCACATATGTGTACACCTCTCCTCTGTATTTGTCCACTTGCCCGCTCGGCACCAGGCTGAAGCTCGTGTCCAGCCCGCACGAGTACCTCCGCATATTGTACACGTACTCCAGCCAGACAAGCCTGGACACACATACCGGGTGCCCCACCCACTCCGGGCTCACATACACGTCCTCCCCACACACGCGGCCCACAGGCCTGCTTTTGTACGCCAGCATCTCTCCGCATGTTATGTGGCTGCATCTTGTTGCCTGCCCTGCCGCAAGCAGCACATATAGAAAACCAAAAAGCAATCCCATCTTTGGTAAAATTGCTTTTTCGTTTAAATGCTGCCCAGAAATCAGCCGATCATGGAAAAAATAAAAAAAAGCTGCCAAACTCCCAAGCGGGCAAAAGTCGCTTCTTAGAGCTAGAAAAGCGCTACGCGCTTTGGGGCCCAAGCCTGCGCCTGCTGCCAACAAAAATAAAATGCAGGCATGTGCACGGGCAGCTTATACAAAGTTGGCACTTTGCATGCGTAGTTTGTTTTTATTGTCATAAATCCGGGCAGGCCTGTGCCTGGTCTAGAGCCAGTTCCGCTAAAGATTTGCTAACCTTTGGAGAACCCCGGCGGTCGGCTTTAGATTGACTTGTTTTTATGCTCTTCGAATTTCTGCGCGTCTTTTTTGAAATTGCTCTCGTAGCTATGCTTATAAAACAATCACTACTGTTTTCAATTCTTACGCATCCATATCAAAAATAAGTTTGCCATGATCTTGGCGTCTCCGATTGGAGTGAGAATTCAGAGAATTCACTACATTTATATAATTTATACTAGCATGCAATGTGCACGCACAATCTAACTAGTTCTTCTCAGTATGCACACACACTCTGCACATGATTAAAGCCCGGAGTCACAAGCCAGCCGCTCTCTGCGCCTCTCTAATCCGCCCTTTGCTTTCTCTGTTTCCAGCCTCTCTTCTAATGCCTCTACCGCCCACACCTTGCGCTCTTTTCTACTATACTATACTACCAACATACTCCAAAAAATAAATTCTTCGTTCTAGTTTTTTTCTCTTCAGCCTCTCCAGAACACTACATTTTGTTTACTTTATTTTTCTTCTTTCCCCCTTTAAGGCTTTAACCATAAACTGCACTAAACATGCAGCATTCCGCAGCAAGGTACGGGCTAACAAAGCGCTTGCCCTCTCCTGCTCCTGACCTTCTGCTTCTCCAAAGAACAACAGACAAATATAGCCACTTGATTTATTGATTGTTTCCCTGTGCACACCCACCCCAGTGCCCAGGCTGGCTCAGGGTCTTTCGGGACTTGCAGACATAGCGCACGAAAGGAAATGAAATGCACCCCGATGCATTTCCCTCCAAATCAAAAGTTTCCTTCCAAAAGCCTGAAGAAGGGAAATAAAATTTTCTCAGCCGGCTGCCAGCACAGCAGGAGCTGTCGCGCAGCTCGGACACGAAAGCGTGTGCCAAGGCACGTTGCTGGGCGCACAGAAGAGATCCACAAAAGACCCCTGTCCAAATACAGAGTTTTGTCTGCACTTGGTGCGAGGCAGAAAAAGCACAAAAAGAATTTGCTGAAAATGAGCGAGACGCACAGAAAACACGCAAAGCAGCCAAGGCTTTGAAAAGCCCCGGCTCTTCCCCGCGCAGCACGCTGAAAGATGTGTCTAACGAACTATGTTTATTGGCTGCGCACCGTCATGTTTTAGACAGTGAGCGCTTCTGCAGAGTGGGCGCAGAAAAAAGCACTCTTTTTATTGGAGCGTTTCCTGCGCCACTCATTTCTGGCTCAAATCACTTCTGGCAGAAGCCTTACACTGTATTTTCGGCAGCCTCTTCATATACCGGAAGCGTTCCTCCCAGGCCTGCTGCAGCTGCGCAATCAGAGCCTCAGCCCTCTGCAAATCCTTCCCCGTGTGCTCTGCCTGCAAAAGCATGCAGATCTCTTCCAGCACTTCCCACGGATCGGCCACATATGTCCACGCGGAACTAATTAAGCCTTCGGCAGCCTCTTTCAGCATCTCGCACATGTACAGCGGCTTGCCTGCCCTCACGGCATATTCTCGGAAATACCGCATCATGCTTTTGCATGTAAGAACATTCGACTCTTCGATGGAATGCAGGTTGTTATAGTCGGCAAATTTCTGCGAACACCAAATCCCCCGATGCAGCTTGTCAGACAGCTGCACCCTTGGACACAAGTTATGCAGAGTCCCGGTGACCACAGGCACTCCAAAGGCCCTATTATACTGCGCTGCCACGCGGCCAAGGCTGATACTCCCTATCACGTTTGCAACCAGCCGGCTTATTGGGTGTTCTGGAGTCAGCGCAATCTTTTTGTGCTCGGCATACAGCACAAGCGCAGAGACAAGCTCCTCCCTGATGTCCTTGCCCGCAACCGGAAGCGCCAAAAGCACCGCATTCGGCCTGTCCGTGCTGTGCTCGACAACCTTTCTCGCGGCCTCCCGCAACTCTTTGGTTGTTGCGTGTGAAAAGCTCTGCGCGGCTGCCCCTATCGCCATCTGGTGCATGCACTCCGCAAGCAAAAAGCTCGAAAACCGCTCATGCTGCCTGTATTTTGCGGGCGCCACGTCCAGCTTTTCCTGCAATTCATGGTAATAACTTAAGTGTGGCATAAACAGTGATATCTTCGAGAAGCCATTCTGACTGAACGACAGACTCAGATCTTGCTCGCTTAATTCGCCTATTTCCGCATACTCTACTGTAAGAAGATATCTTTCGGAAAAAACGCGCTTTAATTGATTCTTAATGGTCACTTTCACGCGCTTGTCCACTGCTATCGAGCGCAGCAGCGCCTGAACGCTCTCGATCGCCTCGGGGGTCAACCCTGTGCTTCCTTCGGTGTCCATGGCTGCCTGGTGCGCTGCCAGCTCGTCCACCACGGCCTGCGGCCGCCCGGTCATCTGCGCAAGCACGCGCATCTGGTTTAAAAGCGTTGGCGCGGCATTCCCCAGCGCCTCCTTAAACTGCGTGTTCATCTTGAGCCACAGGTCTCTGTACCTCTCCCGTTGTCTGTTATTGGGAAACCCCAAAGAGGAGCACTTTTTTTCAATGCATGCCTGCAGCTCATCAAAAAATGCCCTGGTTTTTTCCACCTCCTCCGTTTTCTTACCCCCGCTCAGAAGGCCCTCCAGGCTGTACGTTTTTTTGTCGGAGTCAAACGCAAGAAACAGCAAGAGAAAGCACTCTCCAATAAACCTGCAGTTTGTGCCGCGGGCGTCAAAGTACTCCTCCTCCCCGTCTGAGGCATCTTCTGCTTTATTCTGTACTTCTGCTTCGCTTTGAAAGCGCTTAAACTCTTCAAAACGCTCCAAGGCCGTTAAAGTAGGAAACGTCTCTAGAAACGGCGCAAGATACGCCTGGGCCTCGGGCAGCCGACTCGCAGGCACAAACAGTCGGCTGACCACGCTGTCCGGGTCCTCCATGCTCTCGGCCAGCCCCATGTCGTCTAAAATTTCGAGTGCGCACATCATCACAGACATAAGCTCTTCGGCGTTTTTCACATACTCGCCTATGTACGTGAGAATAAGGAGCTGCGGGCTCTCCAGAAAGTCACCCGACTGGAATTCCTCATACGTGCTCGGCATCTTGTGTGTATCTCTGTACTGCTTGAAGAAGTTTATCACCTGCCAAGCCTCGGAAAGCTGCTCTTTCCCGCTATCTAAAGCTGCCCCTCCTATGCGGGCATCAACCAGCACGCCATTGATGCCTTTTCTTTGTCTTATAATCATCCCCTCTTTGGCCAGCTCAATCGGCACGTCCACGCCCTCGCACAGGAGCAACAGCGCTGCCAGCACATAGTGCGAATCTGTTTGCGTCTTGCAGCCCTCCCGGAGGAACTGAATAAAAGAGCCTGGTCGCGCGCACTCAACCGACAGGCAGTCGTACTCCGGCCCGCTAGATTTCCGCAGCCCAAACATCTGGAGCAGCGTCCTGTGGAACTTCACGCTGTATCCACCATCGCTAGTAACCATTCCCGAATGCAGCTCGTCCTTCTCCGACTCTCTCGTATATATATGCTTGTCTAAGTAGTTGTTCGGTTTGCTGTCCGGCAACAGACTGAAGCTTGTGTTCACCTTGCACGAGTACGCCCGCATTTTGTACGCATGCCCCAGCCGGCAAAGCTGCGCTATGCACACCGGGTGCCCGCCCCAGCGCGTGTTCACATACACGGGCTTTCCGCACACGTGGCCCACCGGCCTGCTTTTGCATGCCAGCATCTCTTCATGCGTCATGTATATGCATTTTGCTATCTGCATGGCTGCAAGCAGTCCGCATAATAATCCTCCAAAACGCAATCTCATTTCTGAATAAAAATTCCTTTCTATTTATGCGTTTTGCTGTGATCAATTGATCGTGCCTTTTGGTCATCACAAAACACATTAACATGTATATTGCGCGCAGCCTCTGCTCTCTGGGCTTGCAGAGGCCCACCTCCATAAAAAAACAAAAGCAAAAACCTGCTGCACAGGAACAGCCTACGCAGAGCAGAAAAGGCTTCCACTTTTCCAATCCGGAGGCAATCCGGCAGCGCTTCAACTCTTTCTTCCTTCTTCGCACATTTCTGTTTTTGCTGGCTCCTGCGGCCCAGCTCCGCTTGAATTTCTTCTCTGCGCGTTTCCTCTTCCGCGCTTTGCTTCTCTCTGAATCTACTGCCCGGGCCTGCCCCACCTTCACCCGAAGACCTCGGCCTAGCCCGAGTAATAGCCCATGCTTTCTTGTTTGTGCGCCTTTCACCAGC